AAATAGGCAGGGTAGTGGTACCTACCCGTGCGGAGTCACAATACGTTTTACCACCAGTGATCCCCTGATGCTAAACAGCTAATCTCTTCTCCAGTACTACAGCATTTTGTTCTGATTTATAATGATCAATTAAAATTTTTATATTTCATTAAACAATTTATTTATTTTTGGATTTTCCAGCAAAGGATATTTATTAGACACGATAAAATTATTTGCGTTAATTAATTACAAATAAATAAAGAAAATTTGCACAGAATATGTAATGCAGTTTAGTTTTTATTTCACGCAAGACACTGAATGTACGTACGGCTATAACTTCCAACGATTTTGCTTAGAGAGTTGTTGAAGATTAGAATGAGTATGATGGGCTAGAAGGTTTAGTAGCTGATGGCCGTAACAAAATTCGAGTAAATCTGCCTTATTCTACTAATTGTTATGACATCACACGCTGACGTCATACATGGCTTGTTATTTAGATAATTTTACCGCGAACTGAGCTGTTCTGAAAACAAATTTGTGTTTGGTTTTTATATTTCGTTAGGTGAAAATTGACGTTGTACAAACCTCAATGGAAGTCAATGGATAGGATTAGGGTTGCCACCTGTACTTTATAATAAAGTATTGTACGTTATTTCAGGTTCACGCTACGGGCAAACATTTGTGTGATAAGCATTTTTGTTTGGTTGTTTGTTCATTACAGTAAAAGGTATTTATTCGCGGGGTATATGTTCCGTAAATATGCTGCGAACACAGAAACCGTGAATATGGAATGGTAATTTACATATATATAGGATTATAGGATACACGTTCCTAGCTGACAAAATAAAAACATACTTTAGGATGGGTTGTAATAAGGTATATTTTACTTTTTTATAAGTCCATTTGACGAAGGTCAAAGGTCTTCATTCGCGGGGTATATGCTCCGTTAATATGCCAAAAATAATTTAACGCTTAGAGCGCGAACCGTCGATAGATCGACTCTGTATTAAGGCGTCTAAAGTGTGGAGCATCGGAATACCGACTGTTGCACTATTTGATTATAGGTATCGATCTGTTCGGACGTGTCTTAGCGCGCGCACGTGGTACGTTTTAAATAATTTAATAAAGTTTATAAATAGCCATTTAAAATTATTTGGCTACGAATTTATTTAGTAATTTTTTTTTAATGAAAGTTTTTTAAAAAATTTGTTCTTTTTTTATTTTTTTATTTAATATATTTTGTACACACAGCTGTTAGAAAAAAACACGACAATAAGGATACAGAGTACAAGGGCACTACTTATTTCATGTTGAAATCTCTTCCAGTAGGCCCGCAAAAGGAGAGGAGAATTAGGAACTCAAACCTAGTGCATACAGTAAACATCTATATATTAATACGTGAAGCAAAAACTTTGTATCCCTTTTTACGAAAATTGCGCGGACGGAGGAGTATGAAATTTTCCACACTTATAGAGAATACAGAGAAGAAGTCCATAATGATAATATTTTTTTTAAATAATGCATAAAAAATACATTAAATCCATAAAGAAAACATTACACACACTACATACCATGTATTTGACGCAAACACGCATGCATACTATTTATTGTCAAACTTTTGTTCTTGACGTCTGTGGTCAAATTGAGAATAGATTAAATATTGTTTGTCTTTATTAATATTTTTTTATGGTTGTAGCCTTGGCGAAATTTGTGATTATAGAAGTATAAAATACAATCATAATAATGTACAAACTTACAATTCCAATTAATTATAGTAGAATTTCGACTACTGCGGGCCTCTAGTTACATATAATAATATCACATATTACATATATAATCTTTGTTAATTTCTGCAAAATAAGTCAAAACAAGCTCATATCACTACTAAAACGTTTAAAGATCTTACGGTAAATAGACAAACGTCGGTCGCTATCCGGCAAACAACCACAAAGCACAGCCATGTTGGATATCCATAGTTCACAAAAAAAACAAAAAAAAACCCGCCAAAACGCGTTAAAACAAAAAAAAAAACAAAAAAACTTTCCGACGCTCGCAAATACTGGAACTGTATTTTTTTATAACCAACACGATCACAATTAAACATCAACAAACTCTGAACGACTTTCGAAGCGTATTAAATTCATAAGCAAAACAACGACTCGCTTTGAAACAATCTCGTGAAGTACTGACTATGCGACATTTATTAAGAGGATAATTGTGACGATATCTCGGTATTAGTGAATCATTGTGAACTGTTGTACTTTGAATGCAATTAATTGGTTGCTTAACACGTTGACTGCCGCGTAGGTCACCGGTGCCCTACGCGGCGCACTGAAGTAATTACGTCGATTTCTGTTACTAAGCGCTTGGATGGCCTAGATTACCCTAATTTTGTTTGTTAATGTATGTTGAAATAGATTCGTTCTTAGTATCTAAAATCGGATCGAACGAACGAAAGACGACTTTCCCAGAGTCTGCTAGATATTCTGGGGCCTTAGTAACAGAAATAATCCACTGAGTTTCTCGCCGGATCTTCTCTGTGGGTCGTGATTACGATCCGGTAGTAGATTCCGAAAGCACTGCTCTTGCTAGGGCCAGTATTAGCAATTCTCTCAGATTGAGCCCGTGAGCTCACCTACCGAACCGCGTCAATTTGGAATAGTCCCTTAGGCTACTAATTCATCATTCTCCTGCCCTTCTCCCAGTCACCTGGGGTCGGCGTAAGATGTTTTCTCCTTCCATTCTCCTCTATAATATACCATTTCTTCGCTCACTCCCCTCTTACACATATCGTCTTTCACGCAATCCATCCATTTCTTTTTAGGTCTACCTCTTCGTCTATATCCTTCCATATTCATAATTAACACTCTCCTACCAAACTCATTTTCATTTCGTCTCATGACATGTCCATACCATCCCAAACGCGAACCAAGACCAACTAATTACGTAGAAAAAAAAAACATAAATCGATATATGTAATTACATGAGTGCGTCGCGTAGGACACCGGTGACCTACGTAGCAGTCAAAGGGTTAAATAAATTGTTTTTGTTGGAGACGAAACAGCGATGACCGCAGAGAGAATTTACAAAGCACAGCCCCGCCTTCGAAGAATAATCCGGTAGTGTTGTGTGTCGTGTCATTAATACGACATATGATACTGTTTCCGTGTTATTGGGTAGTGTAGGAGCTTTAGTGTTCGATGTGTGATCAAAATTCGACCGTAATAACGTACGCTTTAGGTTTTAGATAAATTTTTTCTTTCCTTTTTAAGCTGATAGCCTTGAGAGGCTATTTCAGCGTAACCTTAACTAGTAGGTGAGCTCACGGGGCTCAACCCCGACGGCGTTGCTAACACGAACCCTAGCAAGAGCCGTGCTTTGCAGAATCTACCACCAGATCGGAAACGCGACCCACTGAGAAGATCCGGCGAGAAACTCCGTGGATTGTTTCTGACGGTTCATTTAATTGCCGAACCCTTCGTCGCATTCGACGGGTTCGACGGTGACCGGTGCTTGTGGTACCTAAAAGCACTGTTAATGGATCGGGAGGATCCGATTTTTTTATTATTTTTTTATTGCTTAGGTGGGTGGACGAGCTCACAGCCCACCTGGTGTTAAGTGGTTACTGGAGCCCATAGACATCTACGACGTAAATACGCCACCCACCATGAGATATAAGTTCTAAGGTCTCAATATAGTTACAACGGCTACCCCACCCTTCGAACCGAAACGCATTACTGCTTCACGGCGGAAATAGGCGGGGTGGTGGTACCTACCCGTGCGGACTCCCAAGAGGTCCTACCACTAGTTCTTGGGCGGTTTTACGTGCTTACGTGGTTTGGACGTCGACTGTTTACCATTCGGCTATGAGTTGCTTCTAAAAGTCATAATCCCGTATGCAAAGTGAATAATACAAACAAAAACTAGGAGTAGCCATCGAAGAAGCTATCTATACCCATCTTATATGAGGAGTATATACCCGTCTGGGGGTAGCTAGAATAAATAGTCCCATAGGCTACCAGCGAATAGTTGGGAAAAAAAGACCTATCCTGCCAATCCTATTGACCAATGTGATTAAGGTTCGAATTACACCAGCATCAAGATTTTTTTATTGCTTATATGAGTGGACGAGCTCACAGCCCACCTGGTGTTAAGTGATTATTGGAGCCCAAAGACATCTAAAACGTAAATGCCGCCATCCATCTTGAGACACTAGTTGTAAGGTCTCACTTTTAACGGCTGCCTCGCGCTTCAAACCGAGACGTATTACTGCTTCACGGCAAAAATAGGCGGGGCGGTGGTGCCTACCCGCGCGGACTCACTAGACGTCCTACCACCAGTAATTTCATTAGAATCACGAATACTTCAAATCTCCAACCCGCATATACATCTACTTAATAGACAGGACGTAATGTGCCTAGTTAATGAATAGTTTTGGTTTGCATCCAATGATTTTACTCAAAACAGTCTTCAGTATTTTCACTTCTAGTAACTATATTTAGTAACGCCAATATTTTTAGTACATATAATATATATTACACTACACTTTACATTATTATATATGCATCGAGAGGTGAAAGGTTATTTTGTTTAAGCGACATTTTTGCAACATTACAAGAGAGCCATTTAAAGTTTAAAATTTTGGAAAAAAATGCATAACATAAAAAAAAAAACTTCTTTAGGTATTTGAATGGAGTAACCTTAATTGAAGTTCAATTAAAATCATCGAACTGCTGCTAATATCAAATAAAACGGACCTTTAATTACAAAAATAAATGTCGCGTGTCAAGTCAAGAATGTCTCTTAAATCAAAGAGCCTTTGCACCTCGATATGTACTCCAAATTCCAAGCCTTTCAAAGCGGCATCAATTGACGAGTCATAAAAAATGATAATGCGACATTAAAAATCAAATAATTGAAATAAGCGCCATCTCTTGGTGTCTCTATGCATTTAATATCCGCTCAAAAATATTGCCAAAGCCGATATAATATTGAACTCTGCCGTATACAGGTTAAGGTACCTTTTTGTTTGTTTCTGTTGTGACGTGACGTCGGAGGGGTGCGTCCGAGGCTGTCTAGATCTGTGCTGCTCTGGTTCGATGGAGTCGGACAGTCGTAATCCGCTGTCGGGTACTGATCGAAAAAAAAGCACACATATTTTTTTTATGTAAAAAAATTATAATCGAATGAAACCAGTTTAAATGAAAAACTATTAACGTGATTCGAGAAGCTTCCTATTTGTATATTTTAAGATGCACCGGTGTTCGAATCCCGCAGGCGGGTACCAATTTTTCTAATTAAATACGTACTTAACAAATGTTCACGATTGACTTCGACGGTGAAGGAATAATATCGTGTAATAATAATTTATAATCAAACCCGCAAAATTATAATTTACGTAATTACTGGTGGTAGTACCTCTTTTGAGTCCGCAAGGGTAGGTACCACCACTGCGCCTATTTCTGCCGTGAAGCAGTAATGCGTTTCGGTTTGAAGGGTGGAGCAGGTTGAAAGGTGGGCTGTGAGATCGTCCACCCATCTAAGCAATAAAAAAAAACAACTTACCAGCGAATAAATGACTCTCTGAATGGCTTGCAACCATTTCCTGGCGCCTTCCTCGGTCTCGTCCTGCACGAGATACTGATCGTAATCGACGATCAGCACCAGAGATCTGTTGTGTCTGTAACGAATGTGGATTGCTCAAAACATTTATTCTGTGCCGGCAATATAATTTGTCTGTGCGCCTGTACAACAAAATCCCACAAGATGTTCAGAACCTACACATACATAGGTTTAAGAAAACTATTAAAGAACATCTGTGCAATAAAGCTTTTTTTTTTTCTTTTTTTATTGCCTTTGTAGGCAGACGAGCATACGGCCCACCTGATGGTAAGTGGTCACCGTCGCTCATGGACGTCAGCAATGCCAGGGGCAGAGCCAAGCCGCTGCCTGCTTACTATAAAGTCAATGATTATTTAGAAGATTGCACAAAGTGGGAATGAGTTGCTCGCTACAGGCATTTCAATATTGTAGTAATTGTTATGTTATAATACTTATTGTAAGAATGAATATTTAAAAAAATCTAATATTAAAAAAAATAATGTAATATTTAAAAAAAAAAAAAGACATGTCCGCTGAGTTTCTTGCCAATTCTTCTCAGGACGGAGGCTAGTTCTTGTGAATTTGCGGTAGTTCTTTTGACGTTCAACAAGCATGTACTTTCATTTATGTTGAATAAAAAAAATTTGATTTGATTTGATAGGATTAAAGTCAAATAAAAAATCGGCCGGCAAACAAAAACAACGCTTACACGCGTTTATCTTGATTTATAAGTATTTATTTGACCCGTAAAAAGCTTTGTAATATATTATTATATAAGTAAAATTAAAAGAAAATAATGAAATGTTTCTCTGTTTGTTGTGCTTTTTTTGTTTGGCCAAAGGATTCTTATGTTTCTGTTAAGCGAACGCTTTAAGATTGCTTTTGAAAAACATTTATTTTTCTTCCAGATAGCGCACATACAACACATCCATTCACACTTACTCACGCATCAATACACACGCACTAACATACACACAAAAAAATTTAATAACACTTAAATATAATTTAATGCACTGTGTTTTACATTTCTATTTACACTTTTACAAAACATTATATTAACCACTTACAAATTTACATGACATCTTAGTTTCGTTCATTTACATATAAAGTTATATATTATATTTATATACTGTCTACTCAAAACCCCCGTAAATTATTTTACCTCTCATAATAATTATATTCTAATATTTAAATACCTATGCATCTTGTTAAATTTCGAAGTAGTCAATAGCGTCGAAATTTAATAAAAGTATCTATTAGCTTCAACAAAAAAAAAAAAACATACACACAAACACTAAAACATAATAATTATTTTAGACATAAAATTTAAATGTAAAAGTCACATTAAGCTCTTTAACTGTAATTGTAGTTGTGATTGTGATTGTGATTGTGATTGTGAGTGTGATTGTGATTGTGATTGTGATTGTAATTGTAATTGTAATTGTATTGTTGTATACAGTAAGCCTTTGCTAGTCTGTAATACTTATCACAGCTAAGGCTCGCTGAAAGCATTTATTGCAGCAGCTGTTTGTTAAAATGTTTCTCTAATGAACTAATTTTCCTTAGTTATATTATAATGACAGTGGAGCCTACCTTCTCGTGTGCATGGCTATGCATTGCCTGATCCTGGCGTCTCGCAGCGGGAGCACCAGCTCCGCGCGCGGCGCCGCCGGGCTGGGCGGCGTGCCGGGCGGCTTGAACACCTTCTGCAATACCCAGATCGAACATCAATAAGGGCTAAGGGAATACGCAATGTATTCCTAACACGTATTCACGAACGACTACCAAACCCGCAATGTATGCTTACTGTATGACTACTACCTACCTTCATTACTACGTCTATTAAAAGAAGCCACATTTTTTATTGCATAGATGGGTGGAAGAGCTCACAGCCCACCTGGCGTCAAATGGTTACTGGAGAAGAGTTCTAAGGTAGTAAATAGTTACAACGGCTGCCCCGCCCTTCATACCGAAACGCATTACTGCTTCACGGCAGAAATAGGCAGGGCGCACATGCTTTAATGATTCTACTTAAAGCCACTTTAACGGGCGCAATTCGATTATTTTCTTTTGACAGGCGTGATTAAACCGTGAAAGAAACCTTAAATATGTAGTAGTCACCTACTCAACACTACACGGGCTCAACTTGAGAGAATGGAGGGATTATCTCGAATAACTCCTCAGAGCAGTTCCCATCGTAATTTAATCTCACGATTATAATCCTCACTGTTACATCTTAGAAGGCAGTCGAGCACAAAGTCCATCTGATGGTGAGTGATCACCATCGCTCACGAGCCCAGTCAGCTGCCGTTTAAAACTCTCCTCAATTTACGATTTCCAAAATTCCGAACACTTTCTATATTTTTATGAACGACTGGCTTACCATTTTTTGTATTGCTAACTACCCTCTAATATTAATAAAAATTGATATTTACTTGTCCTTTGCATATAGAATTAATTAACATTATCCTGAAGTCTCTAGTACGATTGAGTTGTCGATACATCATCATAATACGAAGTTGCCATATATTGACCGAGATGTTTAGATCAGAGATAATAAATAATCTATAGTATACTAGCTGACCCGGCAAACATTGTTTTGCCATATATAAGATTTCTAGGGAATTTCTAATGTAGAAAAAAAAACTAACTTATTGTAAGTGTGTAAGGATGTGGTAAATGAGTGAAAGAGGCATGTAGCGCTGTGAACGTTGAGGGAATATAAAAATAACAAAACCTCATTCAACTACATAATACCTCATTATAACAACAAAAAAGTCCAAATAAAAAAAAAATTAGGGGTGGACAACCCTAATCACTTAGGGGTATGAAAAATAGATAGTAGCCGATTCTCAGGCTTACTGAATATGCATAAAAAATTTCATGAGAATCGGTCAAGCGGTTTCGGAGGAGTATGGGAACGAACATTGTGACACGAGAATTTTATATATTAGACTAATATTATAAAGAGGAAAGATTTGTTTGTTTGTTTGTATTGAATAAACTCCGAAACTACTGAACCGATTTGAAAAATTCACTGTTTGGAAGCTACACTATCCCCGAGTGACATAGGCTATAAAAAAAAATTAAAAAAAAGGGTTTCTTACTAAAACTAACCCAAGGTGTAAAAAATTACCTAAAATATTTTTTACATCGCGTGCCCTGCGAAAACTATTGATGATAGAATAAAAAAAATTATGTACTACGACTTTGTAGAACACATTATTATTTACAAAAAGTGTCGCGACAGCATATGTCTAACCATTGTAGTTATGCCGCAATAAGTGTTCTTTTATTTAAAAGAAAAATAAAACAACGTCAAATATCGCTGAAATTTTTGTTAAAGACCCGAGCGGAACCGGAGCGGGCCGCTAGTAATTTAATAATTCAAATAAAACATATGACTGACCGTAGCGTTATAAGTCCTTTGGTCCTTGTAAAACACGAGCGCCGTCTGTATGAGGATCATATAGCAGTCAGTCCAGCTCTTTTTCATCTTCTTCCTTCCTTCGAAGAACTTGGTCCGTTTAACTGGACCTTCTAATATCACCAAGGCCTGTAAGCGGAATAAGTCGATGTTCAAACGCATCCTTTTCAGAGTATTCGGGTGACACAAGTGATTCTAATTCGGAATGGTACCACGTGTGTCCCTAGACCAAACGTAAGGGATAGACAAGATATCATAAGCACAACATAATAGTCTAAATTATTTATTATTTATTTATTTATTACACTTCATGTAAATTTTACATTGGCGAACTTAATGCCTAAGGCATTTTCTACCAGTCAACCAAAGGTAGTGCAGAGTAAATAATGGTAGGTGCAATGAAATATATATTATATATACATACATATAATAGTTATACAGTATTAAAAGGAATTTATTAATAAATTTAGTATTAGCCGTTAGTAAATTTTTTTTCAGCCACCATCACCAGTATCATACCTATTATCCAACTAACTGCATTAGAGGTTAATTATATTTTATTATATTGACAATGGCATTAGCAACTTCAGACGTCATCTGTACCAGTTGTTTGTGTCGAACAACAATACCAACGATCTCTGTGGCTCTGATGATGAGTGGTTAGCGTCGTCCATGGACTTCAGCAATCCCAGGGGCAGAGCCAAGCCGCTGCCTACCATTAAGTACTCTCCACAAGCCTCGTTTAAAGAAGGACATATCATAGCGCTCAGGAAACACCGTGGAGGGCAGCTCATTCCAAAAGCCGGATGGTACGTGTCTTCAAGAAAAGGCGTTTTAAAACATAATATCTATACCTCTGGGTTCTGTTGAAGAGCTAATCTAGGTGCTGGCACGGGGGACTTGTTGATCCTTTTGTTAGGAGCCACCATAGACCTCGACTTCCTGGACCTGGCATGGGAAACCTCTCTATCCCGGATCTCAATGTCTAAGCTGTCTCCTGACGACGACGCAGGAATTTGAAGGAAATTCGGTCTTCTGACATTTGAAATCAGCAGATTCTCCGTCGAACCGCCTGGAAATGAAGCAAACGTGGTATTAGTACAGGTTGTGAAGTAATCGAAAGAAAGTAATTTCATGACAGTCTCTAGCAATTAAATCTCATAAAGAGATACTGGCGGTAGGACCTCTTGTCAGTCCGTACGGGTAGGTACCACCACCCCGCCTCTTTCTGCCGTGAAGCAGTAATGCGTTTCGGTTTGAAGGGTGGGACAACCGTTGTAACATACTAACTTATATCTCAAGGTGGGTGGCGGCATTTATTATACGTTGTAGATATTTATGGGCTCGAGTAACCATTCAACACCAGGTGGGCTGTAAGCTCGTCCATCATCCTAAGCAATAAAAAAATGTGTGTGTGCATGTGCATGTCACACACGGTAGAAGTGGAACTTATAAAAAATAAAAATAATCGCAAGGGTCAACCCCTCCACAGTGCAATGGCGCAGCCTCACCCTGGGGGAACCGCCTGCATAATCAAGGTATCCCTAAGCCAGGTAAGTACAATTTTGAAAGAGAAATACGAGAACGTCTATCAACTGTGTAACAACAGGAATTGTTGAATTTACGTGCAGCGACATCTGTTGATAACAAACTAAATAGAAATAAAAGTATCTCGGGGCGCTCCGAGAGCCGCGACAGCGTGCACGGACGTCAAAAACACACTGAACTAGTCGGGGACGCGAGACCGTGTGGAGCGCTTCGTGATTTGTCGGCGCCGCTTCGGCAAGCCAATCGCGGCACACTTATTTTTTCGTTTCGTTTCATTTCGTTTCATTGAGTTTGAAATCACAACGATTTCACTTCAATAAACTAAAAAACTCACTTAGATTTTTATTGATTCTTATGAAAGGGGGACTTTCGGAAGCATTCTTGCTGAAGTTCCGCTCGAGCTCAACCCGGTTCCTTCCTAAATTGGAGTTCCAGTTCTGCCTCTCGTTCCTTGCTTGCAAAGACAAATCTGAGCTGTCCTGAAAACGAAGTTAATTATTAGCATTAACGACAATAAAATTTGTTTATTACTAAAATTCATCTTAAACTGTTGATAACATTATCATGACACGCCAAAGGTCAACGGTAAATATGCAAATATGCATTTCTATGGCTCGCAAATGATAATAATAAAAAAAACCCCAGTAGATTCAGTACACTGAGTTCCTGGCCAGATCTTCCCAATTCCGGTCGCAATACCGATCCGATGGTAGACTGTGCGAAGCGCTGCTCTTGCTAGGGCTAATGTTAGTAAATGCTTTCAGGATACGGATTTCTTTTTTTTTTATTTCTAGATGGGTGGACAAGCTCACAGCCCACCTGGTGTTAAATGATTACTGGAGCCCATAGACATCTACAACGTAAATGTTCCATCCACCTTGAGATATAAGTTGTAGGGTCTCAAGTATAGTTTATAAGTTCACTTCGTGAAGTTTAATTGAGTTTTTTTACGAAGGTAGATTTACTTTTCTTTTATTATATTTCTATTTTCAACGCACTTCCATTACTGACAAAACGAGGAAAAATAATAATTTATACGTAGTGTAATTGTGATTTTAAATCTATATTTAGATTCATGTGGGTGCATATTATGAAAATATGTACTAGCCATACGACCTTATAGAATAATAAGAGACTAATAAAGAAACTAAACTAACTAGACCAACTAAAAGATAATAATAATTAATTAACCCTCGATAGACTAACACCAATACCCAACGCTTATTTTAACTTATATTTATAATAGTCCATCTGGGTGCAGGATCACATCGTGGACCCTATGACCCATTGAGGGCATCAGCTGATTTCCAAGTATAAGTACATTACGTGCGGAACAACAGAAACTAAAGAATCAAGTAAAATTTCGTTGTAACAAATTGATATATTGTGAACCCGCAATGGATTACGAAAGTAACCGGCAACGTAAGCCCTGCTTTTTACAAGGTCATTGATCGGATTTAAGAAAAAAAATACCCTTAATTTTAATTCGAACTCGAATTAACGGTGACTTAAATTCACCGGCTCTATAGCTTTGAAACGTTTGTCCTTACACAGCTTACAAACACCGGTCTTCATTGCATGATCAATAGATAAACAGTGAATAGTTTTAAGGGGTGTTTTAAGATTAACAATTAATTCCAACATCATTAATAAACTATATTTTTGTGAAATAATGCCATTCATTCGAATTCGAATGCCACGTACCATCCGGCTATGGAATGAGCTCCCCTCCACGGTGTTTCCCGAGCGCTATGACATGTCCTTTTTCAAACGAGGCTTGTGGAGAGTATTAAGCGGTAGGCAGCGGCTTGGCTCTGCCCCTGGCATTGCTGAAGTCCATGGGCGACGGTAACCACTCACCATCAGGTGGGCCGTATGCTCGTCTGCCTACAATGCAATAAAAAAAAAAAATGCGGCTGGTCGTTGTATTGTCGTACCGTATAATTATATCGCAGTAGTTATATTAATCTATGATGTTATATAATACGGCTATACTGGTGGTAGGATGTCTTGTGAGTCGGCACGTGAAGCAGTAATGCGTTTCAGTTTTAAGGGTGGAGCAGTCGTTGTACTGTAAAAACTGAGACCTTAGAACTCATGTCTCGAGGTGGGTGGCGGAATTTACGTTGTAGATTTCTACGGGCTCCGGTAACCGCTTAACACCAGATGGACCTTAAACTCATCCACGCATCCAAGAATATTTTTTTTTGCCCCGAGTGACCTTGAGCCCCGGTTAACGCCACGTGTTGAGCCAAGTCCTAAAGATCTTCTGTACATTACCATATTTCTACTATTTACCGACATAAGAAACAATCGTAACAAATTTTACTGGTAGTAGGATCTCTTGTGAGTCCGCGCGGGTGGGTACCACAGTCCTGCCTATTTCTGCCGTGAAGCAATAATGCGTTTCGGTTTGAAGGGTGGGGCAGCCGTTGTAACTTACTTGAGACCTTAGAACTTATATCTCAAGGTGGGTGGCGCATTTACGTTGTGGATGTCTATGGGCTGGCTCCAGTAACCACTTAACACCAGGTGGGCTGTGAGCTCGTCCACGCACTTAAGCAATAAAAAGATATTTAAAAAGGGCATCTTCGTCACTCCTCTACAATTGAATACACCTACTAATCACAATATCAGTTGATTCATGATCTCTTTCGATCCGAAGAATTAATTTTCGAGGCATTCAAAGGAGGATCGTCGTCTAAGGTCGCTCAAACCGGAAATTTATACAAATTTAAAGTACTCGCATTTACAATTGTAACTATAAAACCCATTCAACTTTTGTCACATTCAAATTATTGAATGAGCATTTATTTATCAGTTATCACAATTATTCAGTGCACGCAATCACATATGTCTTTATCGCGGAGTATCCGGACTCTGTCAATAATGTGACATTCGTGAACCTTTAACGTTCTGTCAAGTTCTCAGTGAGCTGTCAATTTGTTGACGAGCTGCCGATGCCGTGAAAAGCTTATTAAGTGTCAATGTCATGAACCTTTTTTTCAAACGCAGACTTAATATTTGTTAATTAATACGTGAAGCAAAAACTTTGTATCTCTTTTTACGTAAATTGCGCGGACGGAGGAGTATGAAATATTCCACACTTATAGAGAATATAGAGAAGAAGTGCACAATGCTAATATTTTTTTTAAATAATGCATAAAAGATACATTAAATCAATAAAGAAAACATTACACACCCTACATACCATGTATTTGATGCACACACGCATGCATACTATTAATTGTCAAACTTTTGTTCTTGACGTCTGTTGTCAAATTGAGAATAGAATATGTTAATATTTTTTATAGTGTAGTCCTGGCGAAATTTGTGATTATAGAAGTATAAAATACAATCATAATAGTGTACAAACTTACAATTCCAATTAATTATAGTCGAATTTCGAGTACTGCGGGGCCACTAAGTATTTGTTAATACTTAATACCACTTAAACGCCTTCTGTTTTGACACATAAAATTGGTATATACATTACGTCAGAAATAAGGAAGAACTCGATACCAACCTATGCTCCCACGTTATGCTCCCAATTTAAGACCGTCATGAATTTGGAAATGAGAAGAGTTACCACTGAGTGCGTAAAGGTAATGCGGAACTAAAGTATTGATATTATCAGCTGACCAAGAGCAGATAAACTATAATATTTGGGCTTCTAGCCAATTTAGTTTAATCTGAGTACATGAAAAGACATTGATATAAGCATTGTCTACAAAACAGAACAACACAATTGGGGAATTTGGCTGTTTTCACCACAAACACTTTTTGACTTTTCAAGGTCCCATGATAGATCGCGCAAATAGCGCCCAAAATGCAAAAAATACACTAGAAATCCTATTCATATAGAGATAGCCCTTTTGAAAATTTGCCGTTCAAACCAAACCTACGATGTAGCCGACCAATTAAGACCCTTATGTGATTCGAAACGTCTCCGACCAAACCAAGAAGGAGAGCAAGATTAAACTAGTTTGTCCGTGTATTGAAACAGAAACATCGGCAAAGGTGTTACGCCTATCCATAACTGATCGAAAATCCAAAGGATCAAAGCTATAAATAAAGATTACATAGCTTGACGTATCTATAGAAGGGAGTCTAGAGAGCATAGTGGACTAAACTGCGAAGCTGACTCCGCGATGCAGGACTAACGCTGAGACCACACGATATGACACGAGACAGACCCTACTTAAATCGCTTTACAGAAATGTACATCGTGAACTGTGATCTTAAAGACACGAAGTTACAACTCTTTGTCAAAAGCAGGGCGTTGACATAAAACTTTCTGTGTGGAACGAAACAGCAAAATTAACTTTAAAAAAAAAACGCATTTGCGGACGATTCCGCCAATTTTAGTTGATTTACAACCCTAATTAATAAAATCATCATCCGACTCGACTGGAGTTTCTGGTTAAGCTGGGCGTAGACACGTTGTTGAGGGCACAGCGTGACCACCAAATAGTTCGAACTCACCTCCTTGATCCACGTCTTTCCCCTTTTCTCGCGCCATTTAAATACGTTCATCCTACGGCTAAAAACTTTACATTTCTCACACTCAACTTGTTTGATTTGAACATTTCATAATTGTCAATTAATTAAACTTCATTTAATACGAACGTTGCAACGGCCACGCATGACGAACACTATACACAGAACTGAATAACAAAACGATATGATTGTAGTGATGGGAAATTGTAAATGTATCGATAAAATGTTTCATTAATTCCATTGCCGGCTTGTTATGACCTTTTTTTTTTATTGCTTAGATGGGTGGACGAGCTCACAGCCCACCTGGTGTTAAGTGGTTACTGGAGCCCATAGACATCCACAACGTAAATGCGCCACCCACCTTGAGATATAAGTTCTAAGGTCTCAAGTAAGTTACAACGGCTGCCCCACCCTTCAAACCGAAACGCATTACTGCTTCACGGCAAAAATAGGCAGGGTGGTGGTACCCACCCGCGCGGACTCACAACAGGTCCTACCACCAGTAAAAGCTATTGCGAGTAAGGGTTATTTTGTATATCTAATACAATATAAAGATTGCGGTAGTGAAAGATAGTGCATTATCGATGTTAACATATTAATATGTGGTACCTAAATAATATAGTGAATGATATTTTCCAATTCAAAATCATTGTAAAATGAAATCCATATAAAGAATCGATTTAAAAGAGTCCATAATACAAACAAGACGAAAATCGTCGATTGGTGACTTAAGCCTTTTTTTTGTAATAATTTAATGCTTGTAAAAATTTAAACATAAATAATTACGTAATTGACAAAGCATTCGCGAAATCCCTATTTAAAAGTTGTTCGTAACCAGGAAAATTGACAATTATCCCGTTGAGCCAACTCTAGTGCTGACCACCCAGTGAGTAATACAATACAATAGCTCCTATTATCCTTTTTCATCAATCACCATTATTATGGCGATGAAAGAGACGACCTCAATTTTGTTGTTCTG